ACATTTGCCTAATGCAATACACGTCCGTTTGATTTCCTAACTGCTGCTTCCATGAGGATAACTGTGGATCAAAACAAAATGAAGTCTTTGACAACTTCAAACTTTTCTCCATTTATCATGATGTTATTTATTGCTCCAGGGGTGAGGATTTTAACACTGAGGTACAATCCATACTGAAGGCTGTAGTTTTTCTTTGGGGGAGGGGGTTTAATGTCTCCATGCCATTCATAGAGTTCATATACTGTTTGCCCTCGGTCTTCATGTCCAGTATCTTCTCCACCTCGAACACATCCTCCCCATCCTCCTCGCTGTCCCCAACGGCCTCCGCTACTTTCGCGAGTGGGTCCTTCTCTTCGCCCACGGCTCCAACTCCTTCTCCGTCGACTTCAGGAGACTCATCATTGCTGTCGGCACCTGGAGCCGGAGTTGCAGGGGAACTCACTCCCTCTGCAGCCGGAGCCGCCGCCATAACAAGAGGTCGGCCAAATCAAAAGATTATAGTCTTTGATATTCATCAATAAATGAAAGTTTTCTTCCATTTCAGCTAGCAAGTTTGTGTCATCTGCATATCACAGGTTGTCAATGAGTCTTTCTCCAATCCTGATGTCATGTTATTCATGATAAATTAAAGTCCAGTTTTTCAGATTTTCTCCACATATATATTGAATACATCTGATGAAAAAATAACAACCCAGATGCACACCTTTCCTTATTTTAAGCCATTCAGTATCCCCTTGTTCTGTACAAATGACTGCCTCTTCATCTATGTACAGGTTCCACACTGAACACAATTAAGTATTCTGCATTTCCAGTTTTTCTCAATGTTATCCATAATTTGTTATGATCCACACAGTCAAATGTCTTTCCACAGCAGATAAAGCACAATCAGACATCTTTCTGGTATTCTGTGCTTTCAGACAAGATCCATCTGACACAAACAATAATATCCCTCATTCCACATTCTCTTCTGAATCTGGCTTGAATTTCTGGCAATTCCCTGTCAATGTACTGATGCAATGGTTTTTAATTATCCTCAGCAAAATTTTACTTGCTTGTTATATTAGTGATATTGTTTAATAATTTTTGCATTTTGTTGGTCCAGCTCTCTTTAAAATGGGCATAAATATGGATTTCTTCCAGTTCGTTGGCCAGGTCTTTAAAATTTCTTGGCATAGATGAGTGAGCACTTCAGCATTGTATCCATTTGTTGAGACATCTCAATTGGTATTCTGTCAAATCCTGGAGTCTTATTTTTGCCAGTGCCTTCCAGTGTAGCTTGGACTTCTTCCTTCAATACCATCAGTTCTTGATTTTATGTTACATCCTAAAATGGATAAACATCAACCAATTCTTTTTGATAGAAAAACTCCATGCATTCCTTCCATCTTCTTTGGAGGCTTCCTGCAATCATTCAATATTTTTCCCATGTTGTTATTATTAGGTAATATCAAGTTGGTTCCAACCCATATGGACCCTGTGTACAACAGAAGGAAATTCTGTACTGTCTTACCTCATCCTCACAATCAGTGTTATGCTTTGCTCATAGAATACGTAATAGTATAACTTGAGGCTTGAATTTTTTTCTTTAATTATTTTAACTTCAGAAATGCCAAATATATTCATACCTTTTGACTTTTGCACATTTCATTATATTACTAACTTTGTCTTCTTAAGCCTGTCTTTGAAACCTTCTTTTCAGTTCTTTAACTTCATCATCACATCCATTCACTTTAGCTACTCTATGTTTACTGTCTCTTTTGACATCTTTTTTGGTCTTTTCTTTCTTTTCTTTTTAGTGACCTTTTTCTTTCTTCAAGTATGATGTCATTGATGTCATCCCACAACTGATCTAGTCTTTGGTCATTAGTGTTCAGTCTGTCAAATCTGTTCTTTAGATGACATCTAAATTAAGATGGAATACGTTCAAGGTTGTATTTTGGCACTCATGGACTTGTTTTAATTTTTTTAAACTTAAACTTAAACTTACTTATGAGCAATTAATGGTCTGTTCCACAGTGGACCCTGACCTTGATGATTTTAAGTTCTCCATTGTCTCTCATCTCTTTCCCAGACATAATTAATTTGATTCCTGTGTATCCCATCTGGTGATGTCCATGTGTATAGTTACCAATTATGTTGTTAAATAAAAAGGTATTTGCAATAAAGAAGTCTTGATCTTGCTGAATTCTTATCAAGGGGTGTACTGCATTGTTTCTATCACCAAGGCCATATTTTCCAGCTATCAATTCTGCTTGATTATCTATTTCTAAGCAACAACTTTTCAGGTTAAATTTTCCACACACACAACCCTTTTTGAGCCAATTAATAGTCTAGGGTTAGTCTGTTTTGATAAACAGCATTTCTGAATTGGGTTTGTTGCTGAGCTAAGAGGGTTAAGCCTCTCCCAGTTTCATTGGTTATAGGTTCAGTTACCTAGGAGGGTGCCCTCACATTCATAGTAACTATAGAAGAGTAGTGTGGTGGTCACTGTTTGGCCTGCCTTGGTGGTGGGGGTGCATAGATTATACAGATTTTCTCCCCTTCCCACACCTCTAAGTCCAATTAAGATGAGTCCCATGGTGGATGTCCTCTTGCTTTGGCCGTGCATAGATCAGCCAGCTCCCAGTTTGTGGCTGAAGCAGGGTGGGTTGTGCGTCAGGGTAGGGTCAGTTTCAGCTTTCCATGGAGACTAGGCTTTTTTCAGTCTGCTGTGGTGAATCCAGGTGGGGACTCCTTTTACCTTGGCTGCTGTAGGAGTGGTCAGGAGTGGTCAAGTCAGCTCTTCTTGCCACTTGAGTTTCAGTGAGGCCAAATTCCAGTTTCTCACCCACACTAGGTCACCTGGGCTTGGGAAAATTTCTCGTTCCAGCCCTCAGTAATCTTTATAGATGCTTCTGGATGCCCTCGCGAAAGAAAAAAATCAAACACATTTATTACACTCTGAGCTAAATAGACCCAAATGTTTTCAT